CTCACAGTTGTTTATTATTGACTGTGGACATAAGGAGACGCGACAGAAGCCAGCTGTGTTTCATGCTTTAATCATGCATGATGGATAAGTATGTCAAAATTAGGCTCTATATTTAATACTCTATATTGGTTGCTTTTCTCTTGCTGTGATAAAAATACTATGACCAGCTGGGCGGTGGTGGCACAGGCCTTTAATCCCGGAGTTTGGGAGGCAGAGGCAGGAGAATCTCTGAGTTCGAGGCCAGCCTGGTCTACAGAATGAGTTCCAGGACAGTCAGGGCTACACAGAGAAACCCTGTCTTGGAAAAAAAAAAAAAGGGGGGGGGGGAGCTTGTACCTAGAATATCTGTAATCCCAGCACTCTAGTCAGGAGATGGGAGACAGGGACAGGAGACACCCCAGAAGCTGGAAGGTCCCCGAGCCTGTCCTATGTAGCAAATAAGAGAACCTGTCTCAAATGAGGCAGAAGACAAATGCCCACATATGAAGTTGTCCTCTGGTTCCAAACTCACACCATGGCATGTACGTGCCCACATTCTCATGCACACGACACGCCCAAACACAGACACACAAAATAAATAAATATAGAGGAATAGGTAGGTAGGTAGGTAGGTAGATAGATAGATAGATATTTTTAAAGACATTCCAAGTGGAGGTTTGGGAGATGGCTTAGTGGATAAAGTGCCCACCACAAGAGCATTGAGAACCTGAGTTCAAGTCCCCAGCACCAAGTTAAAAGCCAAGTGCAGTGTCCTGTGAAGAGCCCAGACGATCCTCAGGGCCTGCTGGAATGGATGAGCTCCGGATTCAGTGAGAGACCTTAGCCTTCCCCCGCCAAAAAAGCAGAGGGACTGAAGACGACCCTCAGTGTCGACAGCTTCTAAATGCACACCTATGCGCAGACGTGCGCACACACACGTATGGGCACACACGTACGACATATGTGTGCACCGTGTATGTGCATGTGCTCACACATGCCCATTCACGTACGTGGACACACACAATTTGGCTAAGGTGACCTTTAGCTGACATGTTGCCTATGAGATGTCTTTTTTTGTGTGTCCTGTGAAGAAAAGTCATGACAGCCACCTCCCAAGCCCTCCCCAGATTCCGGGCAGCAGTTTATCCATTGGTGTATTGTTTTTAGGCTGGGGCCCTCCTTTCCCTGTCCCTAGGTCCTGCCTGCTTGCAGGACACTCAGCCTTTTTGTTCCTCAAGTGTGAGAGGGAGGCTCCGCAGGGAGCCTGCCCCTGACAGGACATACCACTCAGCTGTGGGCCAGATGTTGTCATGATTCAGGCCGGAACCTCATTCTCCAACAGCTCTGCCAGGGAGTACGGTCAGCGTTTGGCCTCTTGCTGCCTAATTCTCTGTTTTGTGTATGGGGAGTGTGTGTGAGTGGGGGGGGGGGGGCATGCCACTCTGTCCCTGTGAAATCAGAGACAACTCAGAGAGTTAGTCCTCTCCTCTGTCACGTGGATCTCAGGGACCAACTCAGGCTTTCGGGCAGTCAGCAACACCTTTCCCTGCCGAGCCATCTCACCCGTCCCCATCTTAATTCTTATGTCTTCTTGTGGCCGATGACCCGCCAGTGACAAAACAATACTCAGAAACTATTGGTCAGGCCTTTGGGTTTGGGTTATGTAAGTCTTTGTGGAGCGTCAGGCTCATAGTGCTGTGTGGCTTTGTCCTGTTACGTGGCCGCTTTGAACAGAGCCAGCGTCTCCATTAAGAGGGCTAGATTTGAAGGAAAGTGACCCTCAGAGGGAGTAGCACTATTAGGAGGGGTGGCCTTGTTGGGAGTAGGGGTGGCCTTGTTGGAGAAAGTGTGTCACTGTCACTTCCTGCTGTCTGCAGATCCAGATGTAGAACTCTCTAACACACAGCTGCTTGTATGTCTGCCCCCATGTCCCACCGTGATGACAATGGACTAAACCTCTGAACTGGAAGCCAGCTACCAGTTAAGTATTTTCCTTTGTAAGATTGGGGTTATGGTGTCTCCTCAGAGCAATGGAAACCCTAACTAAGACAACCTTAGTTCAGGCCAACCCCATCAGCCTTTTGAAATCAATCTTGGAGGCTCAGTAGATACTGGTAAATTGACAGCTGAGGAAAAAGATTTTCCCCTTTTCAGAGTTTCTTGGGCTGTTCTCAGCTCCTCTAGACCACAGCTTTAGTCACAGCCTGCATTTTGGGTAAATGTTTAGATCTGGGACGCTCTCCACAGGCCCATGCTTGGAATGTCTGGTCCCCAGATGACTATGCTGGAAGGCTTGGAGCCTGACTGGCTCAGTAGGGTTGGACTTCTGAAGTCATGGCCAGGGCCCTGTGATGCCAGGGACCGCTACCACACACTCCTGCCGTGGAGAACTCAGCCACACTGCCCACTCCCCGGTGGACTGAGCCCCTCTGAAACCATGAGCACAAATGTATCTTTTTTCACCCATACAGTTGTCACAGAGCTGTGAAAGGCACTGACACAGACCTGACACATGCAGAAACCGTCTGCAAATTGCTGGTGCCCAAAACGTGAAGAAGTCACTGAAAGAAATGAGAAAAAAAAAAAAATGTAGATGAAAAGATACCCATGTTCACAGGTTGGAAGCTTTAACATTGTTTAGATCTGTGTTTTTGCCCTGTGGGTTGGGACCCACCTGGGTCACATATCAGATATTGACATTACAATTCATAACACCAGCAAAATCACAGTTGTAAAGTAGCAACAAAATAGTTTTATGGCTGGGGGTCACCACAACATGAGGAGCTGTATTAACGGGTCACAGCATTAGAAAGGTTGGGAACCACTGGTCTAGATGCTAATGTTGCCCAAAGAGGTGACAGGTTCAGACAACACCTACCGAATCCCAACAATGGTTTTTGCAGAATGCAAAACTTCCTTGATGCTGAGATAAAGGCTATGACCAAGTCAACTTAGAGAAGGAGGAGCACTAGGCTTCCATCTCCAGAGTCCATATCTGGAGACACAGCAACTCACCTGTAGCGAGAATTTTTGGTTTCTTTAAAAACACAGAAATGTTATGTGAACATGTTTTTGTTTCAATCTCAGGTGTGGGATACCGGGCTGCTTCAGATTGTCCACAGCAGCTGACTATGATTTGCCTCGTGCTCTAGCAGGGGTGTGATTTTTGCCAGCTGAGGATAGTTTTTGTCTTCTACCTAGTGTTGGGTGGTTGGAAGGGATGCGGGTGGTGTAGGGAGGTAGATAAAAGAACCCAGTAAAGCAGCTAAAACTTCCGTTACTTTCACCTCTTCAAAAGCGAGCACGGAGCAGAGAGGGAAGTGGCCTGAAACTCCCCAAGGTCACCCCTTTAGACAAACTTCCTCCAGCAAGGCCACACCCTACCAAGCCTTCCCAAACAGCAGATCCTGCCTTATCGGAGTGGAAGTCCCTAAAGAAGGAGGAAACAACCTGAGCTTCTGGTGGCAGTAAGTGCCAAGCAGCAGCTCCTGCTGTTTCATCACTCACCAAGCAGGTTTCTCGTAGACACACCCATGAAATGTTTATAAAGAAAGATCAAGGGAAGCAGACGAAACACGGCCAAGTACAGGATTCAATCAATTTATTTAATTGCGCTTGTATTTGTTAGTTTGTTGCTGTTTTTAAATTGAGTTTTATTTTAGTTTATTTGAGACAGGGTTTCTCTGTGTCACCCTGGCTGTCCTGGAACTCAGTCTGTAGACTCGGCTGGCCTGGAACATAAGAGATCTGCCTGCCTCTGCCTCCTGGGTTCTAGGATTAAAAACATGCACCACCACTGCCCAGTTTCATTAGTTTATATTTCTTTTCCGACAGTTTGTTTCAAATGTGTATATTGGTGGTTGGAGTCACTCTGACTAATCAGAGAGAGAGGGTCCTTCCAGAGTATACTCAGCCTCTGAGGCAGCAGGAAAGAACAGTCTCCACGAACTGAACCTTGAACAGCCACACAGAAGCATAATTATTTTTTGTTACACAAAAGTTGTTTTGGGGGTAAAAGTTCCTTGTACCAAGGCCCCTAAACTAATCTCAAGGCTTTGGGAAGGAAAACAGCTGCAAATTTAGTGCTGATTGTGCACTGTTTGCAGCACTCAATAATGCGACACGGTCCCGGTGTGCAGGGGACGGTTTTGTGACTGAGGCCATGCAAAGGCTGTAAAGCTCCTTCAAAAGAAAGCAACTCTGCAGGTGACAGAAAACAATCACTGTTTTCCTACACTAATTCCAAAGGTCAAAGCACTTCTAAAGATGACTGTTCGTTCTGATGCCTACCCTAGCTGCAGTGACCCTACTAGAATTCCATGACACCTGTAGCTCACTGGATTTACAGACAAAGCCCGTTTACAAACAAGTGGTCATTTCACTACAAGGAGCGCCAGGAAAGATGGCGCTCAACACGCTGGAAAGGGGACCACACCCAGAGCCCACTTTCTTCTCCTGGGTTCATCCCAAGGGGACCTGATCCTGACCAATGAGAATGCTCCCTGCACTCTTACCTGGCCCCCTTCCAAAGAGCAGGGCCCACAGGGAGCAGCCTGAGGGTTCAGCTCCTGACCTCGGGGCGCGCCCTTATTCTCCTGCCCCTGAGGTGGGGACGCTCACCTCTGACCCGTGTATGCCCCTGGTACCCTTTGTGTGCCAACATATCGCATCTGCTGTGTAAAGGGGTGAGCTCGGGCAGGTCTGGGGACTACGGGGTGGGGAGTGGGGTTTCAGGTCGGGAGGCAAATGAGGAATCACAAAGGATTAGAGAAAAGAGGCTCGATTCTACGGGGCACTAGACGGGAGGGTCCCTGGAGGGTCTAAGGACAGCAGTGGACAGCCCGAGAAGAGAGAACCCAGGAAGCCCTGTGTGCAAGGCCCACAGTCCCAATCCTGTGCTGTTTCCTCCCCTAACCTTTCCTTCCTGAGTGCATTATGTTGTTTTGTCTTATTCTAAGTGTGTACCACCCACACGTGACTGCTGAAGGCTCAGGACACGGGGGGGGGGGGGGGGGGAGAGCAGGCTGCCCCCTCTCCTTCCCCCGGAATCTGGCCCAGCAGGTTCCGCTGACAGCCTTTGTGTGCAAACCTGGCTCTGAGCCAGCAGTTCCCACTGAGTAGGGGAGAAAGAGAGCACAGAGAGAGGTGGGGTTGGGGGAGGGACCCTCACGCCTTATCATTGCTAATTACTATGAAAGCCGGCAGGAGGCAAGAGCTGTCTTAAGTTTAGCAGGTGCCGTGCAAACGATCGATGGGGACCACAGGGGTGTGTGTGTTGGGGGGGTAGTTTAATTCGGTGGTTGAATCAAGGTGAAAAAGAAAGGGCGGGTCAAGAGTGGGGTTGACAGGGCTCTCCCTTCAGAGACCTTAGGGACCTCCCTGGTACCTCTCTGTGTATGAGCCTCCTTCTACCCACACCCTGGTCCCCTTTCTTTGATCTCAAAGACCCACGGCCTCAGTCTCAGCTCTTCGCCGCTGTCTTCTGGATCTTGCTTTCTCCAATGAGGATAGAGGACAACGCTGAGTCCCCGTGACTCCTTTCAAAGAAGACTTCGCAGACCTCTTCTCCAGTCTCTGAGGGAAGACCCAAAAGCAAACACAATATTACTATGATGTCTGAGTCTTATCTTTAGAAAAGAAGGGCCAGGTGCATTGGTGTAAAACATAATCCCAGCATTCACGAGACTGAGGCAGGAGGCCTGCTGAGGATTCCAGGCCAGCTTGGAGCCTGATGGTGAGTTAAAGGCCATCCCAGACTCTGTAAGTAAGGCCTTGCCTTGAAGAAGTAGAGGAGAAGAAAGAGGAGGCAGTGGGAAGCCACTAACTACAGAAGAGCCCCAGACTAAGCAGCTACTTCTCAGCCAGCCAGGTGTCAAATGCCAGCATTTGCCATCCTGGCCCACCTACCACCTAGCATTTGTTTGTTTGTTTGTTTGTTTGTTTGGAGAAAGGGACACTCACAATGTATCCCTGACTGGCTTGGAACTCAATAATGTAGCTCAGGCTGGCCTCGAACTCGGGAAAATCCACTCTTAAGTGCTGGGATTAAAGGCGTGTGCCGCCAAACCCAGTTTACCCACTGCCTAGCTTTGAGAAACCTAACCCCCAGAGTGACCCAATTAGCAAATGGGCCCTTTTGAGAGGCTCTTAAGGCATGAGGTTTGGGGTACAGAGCCGCCTTAGGAAAAGGGCCACTGGGAGCTTGTTTGTCCCTTCCTCCAGATGATGACATAGTGGAAGGTGTCCCCCGGGGAACCAAGAGGGGGCCCTTCAGACCCTTGCCTTGCCTGCGGGCTTGCCCACCTCTAGAATGGTGTTGAGTAACCTTTCTTCACAAATGACCCAGCCCAAAGCATTTTGTCACAGCAGCCCAGACAGACCGAGACCCTTGGCAAGCCACATAACCGCCTTGCCTTGGTCATCGTGGAATGCTCCAACAAAATGCCATGGGCAGGGTAGCTTATACAACAGTTTTTTTCCTCACAGTTATGGAGGCTGAAAGGCCCAGGCCTGGGCTGTCAACAGACATCCTTATGTTCTGCCAGAAGAGGAATTGTGGGTAAGCGAGGAGAAGTTCTTCCAATCCCAGGGTTTGGAAGCTTTTATAAGTCGTGGGCTCTGAGAAGTAAGCAGGGGCTGTGGCTGGCTGAATGTGGCAGAAGGAATCCCTGGTGTCTTGGCTCCTGTGCAGGCCCGATGCCTGGTCCCTTAGCCCCAAAGCGGTGAGCGTGCAGATCCAGGGAGTTGGATTTCCCACCGGATGCCCTTCTGGAACTGTCTCAGAGGCTTCACCTCCCCAGCTCATTACAGGCTCAGTTGTCTGCCTTCTCTTCCCTTCCCTCCTTCCTCAAACGTTTCTGCTGAAGCTGCTTCTGGCCATTCTGCCCTGGCTTCTCTCTGATGGCCCTTAGGCTCCTCCATCGCCTTTCTGGGATCACTCTAGTCACTGTCACCACTGTCAGCAGTGGCCTCTGCCACTCTTTGCCACTGTTGTCATCACTGCTGCTGCAACCATAACATCTCCCATGGACACCACCATGGCTCCCTCCGCTGCCTGTCACGCTATTGTCTCCTTCTTTCACTGTGTTACCAGACCAGCCTGTTTTACAAGTGATGAAGGAAAGGCCACTGGAGAGAAGCCTTTTTATTGGGCCTAAAGTGATACTGGAAGCAGACAGCACAGGAGTGAGCTAAAGAACTTACACAACCCCAAAACAGATGTTTGACCCAAAACATAGCACATCTTCATGCAAATTAAGGCCTGTGTTAACACCAGGCGTGACACAGCTGCCTTCGCACTAGTCAGGGCCGTCCCTCTGCAGGACGAGCAGGGAAGAGGCTCAGTACAAATGCTCATTTACATTTCACTGAGGGTTGTGAAGGCCAGAATTGGAGCTATCACAGGCAAGGCTGTGATTTCGGGAGCTGGAGGGATGCTTTAGCAGCAAGCAGCTGTCAAGGCCAGTGTAGCTTCCTCGAGGCATTCAGGAAGCATTCAAAGCAGCCAGGGCCGGCGTGGGGACAATTCAACTGGCTTTTGGATGATAATCCTTCACTCAAGGCAACTAGGAAATGATTGAAGAGTTTAACACTAGCCTAGACTAGACTAGACTAGACTAGACTAGACTAGACTAGACTAGACTA